AACTCACCACCCATCACCAATTCTCCATAAAATCCCTTGTTTAAGAATGAGTTGAAGCTTCGCCATGTGTGATGTGTGAGAAACCCCCCTATAGAAGAAACCTTCTCTTTCCAGAAATGCTTACCATGTAAGTATTTTGCTCCCAAAATCTGGGCCCACAGAGAGAGACACCCTAGCTTAGATAGTAAAGCTTTATTTCTATGCTCCGATGCCACTAAACATGCGCTCCCATACACGACTTCCTCTTTTTTTACCCCTTCCAAATCACCCCACCAAAAATTTCTACATAACACTTCAAGATGATGACAAATATTTCTTTAGGTATGAGCTGAGATTGCATCTGGTACAAGGGGAGATAGCCTTTAAAATAGATTTGATTAAAACAGTCGTACCCGCCTGAGATAATAAAGGGATCTTCCATCCTGCCAATCTAGCTTTCATTCGTTCCAAAGCATAAGACCATCCACCAATAGTCCTCCCTCCTTTTACAAGGGGAACCCCCTAGGTACATCTCATTCTCATCCTTATCCATGTGTCCTACATTCAAAGCATTTGAAATAAGATTTCTTACTCTGCGTTCTGTATTACAACGGAAGTAGATTGTTGATTTTTGAAAATTTATGACTTGTCCCGACCATTGACAGATAACATCTAATTGCTGTTTCAGACAATCAATTAATTTCCTTCCAAACTGAAGCATATCATCTGCAAAAAATAAATCATTTAATCGTATCCTTGTCCTCCCAAAATGAATTCCCCTTAAACCTCCTTCCTGCATCTTCATATTAAGCATACGAGATAAGACTTCAGTACATAAAGGTACGGAGATAAAATGTACAGCCTTGACGAATCCCTCTAGATGGTTGAAAATAAGTTCCCGGAACACCATTCACCAAAACAGTCAGATTCGTCGATGAACTGCACCGAAATATGTCACAAAACTTAGGAGGAAACCCCAAAGAAGATAGAATTTTCAATAAAAAACGGCCATTCAACACGATCATAAGCCTTGGAAAGGTCCAATTTCAGCATAAAGTAACAAGTCTTTCCTCTTTGCTTCCTCATTGTATGGACTGCTTCTTTTGCAATCACCATATTATCAATAATTTGCCTTCCTGGAGAGAAGGCATTTTGGCAAGGGCCAACACCTTTCTGCAAGAGAGGTTTCAGTCTATTAACCATGATTTTGGCAATGACCTTGTACGACACATTACTCAGCCCAATGGGTCGAAAATCTGAAGGAAACTCCACATGGTCAGTTTTAGGAATCTGACATACGAGTGTTTGATTTATAGAAGCAATTGCTTCTGGATTGGAGAAACAATTCTGAACCAAATTCACAGTATCACTTCCTACTATATATCCCAACACCTTTGAAAGGCTGCAGCAGGAATACCATCCGGTCTAGGTGCTTTATAAGCACCCATACTTAATAAAACATTTTTGATTTCTAGGGCCTCAGGTAGCTTGCACAACGATTAAGTCTTTGCTTGGGTAAGAACTGAAGGAAAACCATGAAAATCATGAAGGTCTGGATTGGTACAAGTAAACAACTGTTGAAAGTAACAAGTTATAATTTGAGATATTTCTATTGCAAGGGAAGTCCAAACACCATCGGAATTTTTCATCCAATTTACAGAATTTCTCCTTCGACGATTTGAGGCTAAGACATGAAAACATTTCGTGTTGCGATCTTCGTCTTTTTGCCAATTCACTCTAGCCCGTTGCATCCAATAAGACTCCTCTCTAGTCAACCATTCTTCTAATTCATGACGAATTTGATGTTCAAGAAAAACCTGATCTGATGACAAAACTGTCTCTTGTAAGGCGGCTAATTGTTTCTCCAGATCAGTAATCGTTTTTCGGAAAGCAGTGCCACTCCCACCCATGTTGTTAAAAAATTTCAGAACAGCAGCACTTTTCAAAGCAATTGACCCCTCTGTAGAACCCCAAATATCATGAAAGTGTCTCTTGAAATTTTGATCTTCAAATCAATAGGCTTCAAATCGTATTCTGGACGGACTGGTGGGGTAAGATGAACATTTGCAGCATGAGGGGTGAGTGGTCACTTGCAACCGAAGTAAGATGGTGAACCTTTGCAGCTGGAAATAAAGAAATCCATTCGGCATTAGCAACCACTCTGTCTAAACGCATTCGAATCAAGTCTCCGGGCCGATTATTGCACCAAGTAAAGTGAGGACCATGGAAGCCCAGGTCCATCAATCGACAAACAGATAACATATCCAGGAAACGAGTGATATCACTGAGTGATGGCAATCGACCACCTGACTTTTCAGTCCGATCAAGGTTGTAATTAAAATCCCCCAACGCACAGGTAGGGCCATCCAAATGAGCAATGTTGTCTTGTAGGTAAGTGAAAAAAGCAGTACGGCCCTCAACACTTGGATGGATGTACATAAATTCCACTCTGAGAAACTTGGATAATTTAACACTTTGACACATATACACTGGGATGAGGAATCAACAATTTGCAACTTGATTTGCTTATCCCAGCCTAAGATGAGACCACCAGAACGACCAATAGAAAGGATTACGAGTTTCTCATAATAATAAGTGAAGCCAAGAAGTCGTCGGGCCTTTTTCTCCTGACATTTGGTTTCAGATAAACAGAAAAACTTTGGCTTCTTTGAGCTGACAAGTTTTTTCAAATAAGGAACTGTAGGACAATTCCAACATAAAACATTTATGATGACAATGGGGGCGATTGTGGGCTCGCCACCCTCAGCCCATCAGTTTGCCCTTTCTGCTCAGGCAATAACAGTGCAACAATTGAGAGATTGGTCGATTGGTACTTGTGTTGTGGTAGATTCACTACTTCCTCGAGCAAGATGTTTACAAGTCTTCAAACGAACTGGTCGTGATAAATCATCAGGCATACTGAATGCTATGTGTTTTGAAGCAGGAAAGTTGATTGACTCATCCTTTCTTTTGCAACTCAGTCGGATGTTGGCGATCGATGTACAGGCTGATCAACATGAGATCTTGCATGCCTATGCGCAAGTTTTGCAGGCAGTGAAGGTCGTATGTCCTTTGTAATATTTGCCACCGATAAAGCTTCAAGTTTCTGGAAAATCTCTTCGTGAGAACAGTCTTGAATAGCAGTCTCAACTCGATGTTTTAATCGACAAGTTCCCTTTATACGTACAAACTTACTCCATTTTTCAACTTCATTTGCTGCCGGTTCAAACGGCTTTCCAAGTGCTGCGGCAATGTGTTTGGCAGCGGTGACATTCAAATACGCCAAAGGTAGTCCCAAAAGATGAACCCAAAGATCTGCATAATCGAAAGTGTACTCATCAGGTTGTTTGTCCGCCTCACCTTTCTGCATGAGGATTAAATCCTCCTCAAAAAATCAGGGACCATTATCCCATACTTTATCCCGTTCATAGCTACTGGGTAATTTGATCAGATAAGAAGTAGTTGTAAACTCAGAAATACGATTCCCATCAATCTTCCAAACTTTGGAAATCATTTCTTTAAAACCTGCAAATTTGACTGGTCTATCAGTAAAAACACGACATATCAAAGTACGAGTCCACTCAGAAGTAACTATTTTATCCTCTCTATGGGCCTCTACAGGATTGGACGTAGATGGGAGGAGCAATGGAGAGAGTTCGGCAAGAACAATATCATCTGCCATTGGGAAGAGGAGGTTGATGAAGTGTCAAGAAACCTGCATAATCACAGGAGAAGAAGAATCCCGAACTTATTTTTATTGCCTTATTGGTGTGTGAATAGAAAGAAAAGCAAGTTAAATACCAAAAAAAAAAAAAAAACGGCGAATAGAAAAGTAAGTTGGCTACTTGGCTATTTAAAACAGATCCAGGTCCAAGGGTGTTGTACACCTTCGACGTAAGACCCTCCTAAGAAACCACACGATTGAATGATGCGTTTCTTCTCCCTTCTCTGTTCAAAATTCAACAAACCAACCAAAACATTCCAATCCGACGAACCTACGAAGCTCGTCACTTTGGCTGTTGGGGAAAAACAGTCCAGCCTGGGCTGTTTTTGGGAGCCTCTGGAGTCTGGAGGACATGACATTTTAGCTAATTTAGGTTCTTATTTATTTATTTTAACTAAAAAATATTATTTTTACCCACACTCATCATTATGAGATGTCAGGGTGCCAAAACAGCGCAGCGCAGGCTTTTAAAACAGCCAAAGTTTGTAGCACTTTCTATAATTCTATCTGTGCAAAAGGAAAAGGGCAGTCCGAAAATTCATCATAGCTATCCTACGCCGTCCGATCAAAGACTCGTCTGAAAGAGTCGTGATTTAAAGAGGGAGGTCTCCCTGTCCCATCGGCTCTGTCAGGACAAGTGGCATGATCTACCGGATTATTATTTTATTCCAATCTTAAGTCTGCCAAATGTCTCTCAGGTTGACCATTTAAATTCTCAATTAAGACGATCTCGCCAAAAGTATTAATTGATTCTAGGGGCTATTTGCATTTTGGAGTGTTTAATCAGGGAAGTTTTGTAGTGTGTAGGATCCACATGGATTCCAATTGCACCCTCATCTCCCTACTCCCTACTCCCTATCTGCTATCTCATCCTAATCTTCGGATCATCCTAAAAAAGTCCTACCCGTCTGACAAGATACATCTTTGTTAATAGACGGCTAAGATTATCTGAATCTAAACGCGATCCGGGGAGAATCTAATGGATACCTAGTTGGGATAATGTCATTGTCAGAGGGTCTAATCATGTTACGAAGCTGACGGCTCAAGTTTGTAGGTTAAATTAATGTCTTCTACGTCGTTGATTTAAGTTCAAAGGTGTCAAGATGCTATTAGTTGGGTATTCGGTAAATGGATGGAGGGATACGAATCATATGATGTTATCCTTATCTTGTCTTTTTTACAATGTTAATTTTATATTATAAATTTTAAAAGAGTTTTTTTTTTTTTTTAATTTTTTCGATAAACATTTATTTTAAAAAGCAAGAACATTACTTGAGTGTCGACGTATAAAATGAATTCTATTTCTACCCAACACGACCCTTAAATTCCGCGCTTCTTTTCGGCGAAAAATCCAACGACCAAGAAAGAATCGAAGCCTTCAAACAAAATTAAGAATTTTCGGTTTCCTTTGAGAGGGTGATCGGCTGTGTCTCTCTCTGTCTCTCTCTCAATCAAGGTACCTTTCACCTTCTCCTTCTGTCTCTCTTTTTCCATGTGCTCTTGTTCTCTGCTTTTGTTTTGATTTTGATTTCGTTTTGTTTTCGTCTACAGAAGATTCTTACGAGCTTTAAGCTCAAAAGTCTGAAATGGGTTTCTTTTATTTCATTGATTTATGGATGTTTTTTCTGTAGTTTACATGGTTTTCATTTTATTCTATTTTGTTCTTCCAATCCAATACTTCTTCATCTCCCTTAGCTAATCGTGTGGGAGTCATCAATAGATTTTGTCATGTTTATTTGTCTATATGTAAATATTTTGATTTATGGAGAAGATTTCATTCTGAAGTAAGAAGGGTATCTCCTGAGATTTCAACAAATCTAAGAAATACGGAGATTATTTTACACTTCTGAATTCTTATTTTTATTTTTGATGATTTACATATCTATATTGTTGTAAGCACTTAAAATATTTATTTTTGAGTTATAGAAATTGTTTATTTTATGCACAAAATAACTTCCCCCTCCTCCCTTTCTTTTGAAGATTGATAATTGCAGATGACTGTTTTTCATAGATTTTGATATTGAAAATTTGAGTTGTTATTTTCGAATTAGTTTTCTACAAATACATTAGTTCAATGAGCTAAAGCAGCAGCATTCTTCAGTAAGACCAACCTTCTCTGTCTCTAATATCTATTCTTCTGGGATTTTCTCTCACTGACAGGTGAAGAAAAATCTTCGATTTGTTATCGGTATTTGGCTTCCAAGAGTTACTGATTTTCCAAAGGGATTCTGCTCGCTTTCTTTCTTGTTAGAGGAGAGAGGGTACTGGCTCGTGGAGAACTCATTTTCTGCGAGCTTGGCGTCCTCTCTCACACTACATTATCGTAATACTCTTGTTTCAAAGAAGTTTTTTCTTTGATGGGAGTTTTGTGAATGAGATTGGAGAGTTATCTTGGAGGTTATGAGGTGAATAAGAAATTGAAACTGCATCATGGGTGCTGTATGTTGCTGCTTGCGTGTCGATGATTTTGAAGAATATGTAAATCCGAACAGTTCAATTTATAGAAATTGTATCTGCGTCAGATGCTTTGTTCAGAACATCTTAAATGCGGTATGCTTTGCAGATTTTAGTTTTCTATTTTTCTTTTCATCTTATTGGTCAATACTCTTACTTTTTTTTTTTTAAATTGTTTTCACGAATAACTTAATCTCTAAATGTATGCTGTTGGTGTCAACCAGCGGGTTGGTAAGGTCTCGTAAAGGAGACTTGGGATCAAATCCCACCTGCACCTGGGTTGGGGATCAACCCCCGGTTGTGTAGCCCTTCAAAAGAAAAAAAGAAAAAATCTCTAAATGTATGCTAGCTTCAGAGTTGCACATTTAGATAGGATGGAGATTATCATAAGAAGCAAGAAAGAGAGAATCTCATATGTAACTCAATAATGAATGAGTGCTAAGATATTCTACTGCCTGGGAATATATAACTTTGTATCCTGAATTCTTAATTTTTGGATATTTTGGGGATTCAGAGCCTACAGATTCTGTTTTAGGTTAGTTGGAAATTAGGGGAACCCTCTAGCTGTTCTTGGCCTGATTGGAGGTATTGATAATTTATGGGCTTTTATGCCTTCTAAAATATAAATTGCATTATAACCTCTGTGATCATTTGTAATCCATGGAAGTTATAGATGGAGAGGGAGGAAATGATTGCCAAGGAGTGGATAAAGGTGTTGGAACATTACCCTAATTACAAATTTGGCATTTTTATGAAAACAAAAGGAAGCTTTACTGCATCTACTATGGTCTTTTCAGAATTACAGATAAAGGGGGAACAGATTTTCTTGTGGAACTATTTTTGTTTTTTTTTTTATCATTGGTGGAACTACTATTTTGGCTTTGTTCAATTAAAAACCTGATTATGGGCGAGTCTTGGATTGATCTTGACATGGACACTTACAATATTAAAGTTTTAGACTTTCTTCATATTATACACTCAAAAAACAAGGCTTAAAATGTATCCTTCTTTCATGCTTTTATTTCTCCTGAAATATACTTCAGTGTCATGTATGGATTCCATGATTTCCTTTTCTAAATTTTATTTTTATCATCGTTTATGCTTGTCTTCATGAAGTGGGTGAAAGAAGTTGTTTTGTGTTTAGATTTGAAGTGGAAGTAAGAATAAGACATAAGGCATAAGGAATAAGAAATAAGAAAGAATAGATATATGAAATAACTTTTATAAGGGAAAAGAATCACCTAAGGTACACGTGCTGCCTCCTTTTCTTACTTATAAAATCCCATTGTCCCAAAATGAGGAAATGCCAAAATATCTTACACAATTTTCATAAGAATCATTTGAACTAGTGGTTGAAATACGCCAAAAGTGCTGGAAATCCTATTGTTTTTGAGTTTGAATGTGTTAAGACCCAAGTAGCAGCAGACCCAGAAGGAAGGATCCAGGCCCACTACACTCGAAGCCCAACTTAGGCAGGCCTCTCCAGAGTTCACGCGCACCACGCCTCCTCTGCGGTTCGTGTATTCACGTCGTCCACGTCAGGAGGAATGAGTGGGTTGTTAGTTATTCAGAGGACGTGCTCCATGATAAATATCTGTATGAGCTCTTGAGAGCAACAGAACATAATAGAATAAACGTCTTTTCTAAATCTCTCTTCTCCTATCTTCTCAATTCAGGAGGGTGAGCTCCCTCGAAACAGTTCCAGTTCTCTCTGTTCCATTTTGGTTCTATCAGAGTGCTTTGACATTAAATATCATTTCAGAACAGAAGAATTCTAATTCATCTTTTAAGGACCCAGAGTTATTGTTCCTAGAATGTAGGGAACCTGGAAGAAACCAACCTTTTACATGACATTCAATGGTTTAGAATTGTCTTGCAGCTCTGGATAAATTATGTAGAACATACGAGGTTGGATGATCAAGTTAGCTTAGCCAAGGTTTTCCGAGGAAAAAAAATGCTAATCCTAGTTTGTAGGGTCAAGCCTCTATAATCCTAATGAAACTTGTTTTCATGTAATAATTCTACCATGAAATTAATATTTGCCAATCCAGTTATGAGGAATGCTAGAATGCTTAGATATCCACTCAAATTTAACTTCTTTGTCTTGCCATCTCTATGCAGTACACAGCATTATTCCGAAGAGGGGAAGTGCATGCGCTGCCTTCATCAATTCAAGAAGCTGCATCTCTGACATCTCCAGCATCCCTTGACAGTTCTCTATCTGATATATACCGTTCTCCTCCAAGGCCCTTGCCTTATGATGCGGATCCAAGATGCTTCCGTTCACAGCGAGATGGATTGGTCTCCAGACATGAGAAGGGATCGAGTCATTTGCACGAGGAATCTGAACAACTTAGAAGAAGTGATGTTCATGCAGGTCTAGAAACACCAGCAATTGCAGACAAATGGAATGTCTCTGGTTATGAAAGGGTATCAAAGGAATGTAGTTCAGAGTCCTCAGTGAAGCACCCATTGGTAAAATTGACAAGTGGAACTGGATATGTTTATTCGTCATCAGAAGAGGAGGATGTCTGCCCAACGTGTCTTGAGGGTACAACTGCTAAGATCTCCTGTTCTTTCTTTCCTTTTTTTTTTCTCCCGCTTTCCTTTTATAAGGATGGGGTGACTCAGACATAATTCATTTGCTAATTTTACATCATATCCATGTTTGCCCATGGAAGACAACATTAATGTTCTTTAGGTTAAATTTTTGTTCCCCTTGGTTATTTACTTGTGTTTTGATTTGCAGAATACACTCCAGAAAACCCCAAGATAATTACCCACTGCTCTCACCATTTTCACCTTGGTTGTATATATGAGTGGATGGAGAGAAGCGAAAATTGTCCAGTCTGTGGCAAGGTAACATGTTTACTTCTTATGAACTTCTTTTTTCATTTCTGCACAATGACTCTTATCACCTGAAGTTTCATGTGGCTTTCTTTGTATTTATATTTGCCAAAATAATGCTATGTTTTTTTTTTTTGACAAATTAAAATAATGCTATGTTCAAACTAAAAATTTTGGCCTGGTCACTTTGTGAGCAATAGCAAAGCTTTCTAGTATTAGAAGTGACTGCTATAAGCTTATGTTCTAGTCCAGTCTTGTTTTAGCTGGTTTCTTAGCTGGGGAAATTTTAGCAAGTCATTTTACCATGAGTCTGCAGGGAGGCATAATGTAATTGTTGTATGTTATGTTGCATGAATTGAACTCTGGTACTGTGTAGGGGTGCAATTCAGGTTGGCCCAAGTTTTGCATTTTACACTGCTTTTGGCTCAGCCTTTGGGCCAGGCCCATTCAAATTTTGACAAAAGTCCAACCCAAACCATTCAAGTTGCACCCCTAGTACTGTGATTCTAAATGTTGCTACATCGTGTCCAAAACGTTGAGCCTAGATATGTGATGTATAAAGGATAATACTAACTGGATGATCTTTAAAAGACCTCTATCCTTTTGGAAGAGTTAGTAGTTGCACTTACATTTGTTGGTGTTAGTGGCACAAATTGACTAGTGTAAGGAGTTATTTTCTTAATCATTTCAGGAAAATAGAAATTCTAAATGTGGTTATTTTGATCACTCACTAAGTAATACAGATTAAATAATAAATATACTTCTTTTATGTTACCGAGGTGTTGATATGGGCTATTTGAGAATACTGAATTATTGATTCACTCAAAAAGTCAGCGTCCAGAAGAAGATTGAGGTAGCTGCTTATATTCAAGCTCGGACAATATTTAATGTGTTTAAAAGGTCCGAACAAGTCATTCATGTAAAATTTAAACTACATTAACTTTTGGACATAAGAATTTCACTATTTCAGGAGCAACAATTATTTGGAAACAATCTCTTTTGGAGACAACTACCCTCTCAGATTTGATATAGAATGAATATAACGCCCTAGAAATGCGTATCCAACAAATATAAGAGATGGATAGTGCATCTCTTATGGGTTAGCTGTAGGTATCATAGTCTATAAGCTCCACATGCTCACACCCTTGTATGGTTTGGCTTGTAGCCTTCTGTTCTAACCTTCTTCTTAGAAGAGATTTTGCATATAAAACAAAAAGTACATACAGAGTTTTTTTTTTTTTTTGTGGTGTTGCTGGCAGAGCCATGCATGAGAAGTTTACCTCATGACTCTTTCTCTCATGCCCAAACATACAAAACCCTACAGCTTTTCATTATTGTCTCCTATCAATAGTTTCATTTCTTCTACAATAGGTTAGCATAGATTCTCTGTTCTGGGTATCTGGGTATATGGAAGAATATGCTAGAAAGGAAAAAACAAAATCTGAAATGGCCCTTTTCAAGAAGATAAGGCCTTTGCCCGGATTTTGTTCTAGTGAGTGCTTTTGCAGCTTTTGAAAAGAGAAACACTTCCCCTTCATTAAACAGTGGCAATTTGATTTTAGAAGCAAGATCAATAATATGATGCTAATTTTAAGTTCATTTTGATTCTTGACTATTAGACCCCCAGCTTGTCTATGTAATGACAGTACAGCCCCCTTCTATTTTATTGGGCCTGTTTGCTCTACAAGGAAACAGATGTTTTCACTCTCCTAACCATCTTATCCACAAGAAAGCAGATATGCATCACAGCATCACTTTTCCATAAGGACACATTTCTTAAAAGAACTTGGGATGGTAGTTGTTAATAAATGGTTTGGCAAAAGTTTTAATGCTGGCTGTTAACCAGAGATAACCGTCCTTCCTTATTAGGACCTGTGACTGTTATTGTAAAAAAGCTTAACATTGCCAGGAAGATCAATATGGAAATTGTGTTTTTATGAGACACATAATGAAACTTTGGGCAAGAGAAGTTGAACACGGGTTATGACATGAACTAATTATGTCAAATAACCGATTTGGTTTTATGCCAAAGAGATCAACTATGAAAGCTATCATTTTATCGAGCGACTAATAGAAAAGTTTTGGAATAGGAAAAGCGATATTCAAATGGAAGAGTACCAAATAGTTATCTAGACCTAATTAAGGACATGAATGTGGTGCAATAACTGGTATTTAAACACAAGATGGAGAGACATTGCAGTTTCTGGTTAAAATGGCACTTCACCAAGACTAGCACTTGGCCCTTATTCGTTACCACTAGTCATGGATGAATTGACTAATGCTAAGTTTGGGAGTGCTTATTTGAAAAATAAATTTAGTAAGTGCTTAAAAACAAGTGCTTATTCTAATAAGCATTTATGAGTATTTGGTGAAAAGGCACTTATTTTAAATAGGGGTAATATGGGTATTTTTAAATGATGTGGCAGGCCAAGATAGGCCATAAAGGAAATAAGAACTTATTGAATAAGCACTTAAAAATAAGCACTTAAAAATAAGCCCAAAATTCAGGCTTCTCAAATGCAAATAAGTTCTTATTGGTGTGGTCCCAGCCCAAAATAAGTGCTTATTTGAATAAGCACTTATTTTTAAGCACTCCCAAACTTAGCCTAAGCATATTAAGGAGGAGGTCCCATGGTGTATCCTGCTTGCTAATAAAATGGTACTAATTGATGAAGTTAGAGAGGGATTAAATGTTAAGTTAGACCTATAGAGAGGTGCTCTAGAAAAAGGAACTTCAAGAAAGTAGGGCCGAAATAAAATATATTGTTGTAAATTTAATAACTATAGGATTGTGAATTGGGGTATGATTAGGATTGCAGACCAAGAGGTGCCTAAGTGTGACCTCTTTCACTTGCTTTGTTTAATAATCCCTAAGAAAGAGATTGAGGAAGATGCCACCCATAGAATTAGAGTGGGATGAATGAAATGGATAGACGCATATAGACTCTTGTATGAATTATGATAGGAGAATACCACTTGGGGTAAAAGGAAAATTTTATAAAGTGGTTATAGACCAGCAATATTTCATGGAGCAGAGTGTTGGGTAGTTAAGAAACAAATCCAAAAAAAGGAGTATACTAAAGATGTGAATGTTGAAGTGGATGAATAGAGAGACAAGAAAGAATAGGATAAGAAAATGATCATGTTCCTATAAATCTTGGAGTAGCCTTGATAAGTTAAAAAGGAGGTAACCTAAGATGGTTTGGTCATGTGCAGAGAAGACCATCTACAACACTGGTAAGAAAATGAGGCCTGTTGCAAGTTGAAGGATCTAGAAGAGCTAGGGGCAAGCCAAGAAGAACATAACTAGAAGTAGTGAGAAATGGTCCGAGGGCCTATATTTAACAGTGGATGTGACACCCGAATGTAGTAGAGTGGCAGAAAAGATTCATGCAACCTATCTCATATAGTTGGATAAGACTTTGCTGAGTTGAGTATGGAACAGTAGTCCTTGAAGCATCATCGGAAGGTTCATCCAGGTCAGTTGTCTGTGTTCCTATATGCGGGTGCATGTTTTCTCTCTTGGTCATTTTTTAGTTCTAAAAGACATTGGTTTGAAAGAGTGACTTGAGTAATTACTATGTCTAGCCAAACATTTTCTCAAAATTGATCGATTTCAGTTAAAATAGAGGATAAAAAAGCAAGATTGCCTAATACACTCTACTCTGAACTAATTTGTCAGATTCCTCCAAGAACGCATGTCTGTAAGGACCCATTTCATTAAGAAATCATGGGACTCTCTCTCTCTCTCTCTCTCTTGACCATCCCAATTTCGTGAAAATAAAATTTATGCATTCAATGAATCAATGTCACAGCTTTAAAAGCCAGTTAGCTTGAGGTTATTCACCAACATTACAAGAATAACAATCTGGCTGGTATAGTGGTATGTATATTTATTATTTTTCTTTCATATTAAAGATTTATTAATCAAATAGTCAACAAAAACCTGATATTTGGTCTGTCTAGCATTTCTGGGTCGCTTGCCACCTAATTCGGTCCCTATAATGTCTGCATACACATTATGTAACAGCGACCAAAGTGGTCTTTTAAAAGTTAAAACTGGTAAGCAAGTCAAATACTGGTAGAAGATGGGATGCTCACCATGATGGTGACCATTAGAAATGTTATAAAATGAATTGGAGAATGGAGTTCCAAGTGATCTGAAAGTGTTTTTTTCAGGACTAGAAAAACCATTTTTATGTGGGAAAGGCCAAAGATGGGAATAGTACTGACAACAGGATATGGAGTAGTTTCTATGGTAGAAAGCAGAAATGGGAGATCATAGGATTGGGGTTGGTTAGGACTGGGCAAGAAACAAATGAAAATTTTTGTTTCTCTTTGTAGGCTGTAGGTGGTATAAGCACCCCCTTTCTTGATGTACGGCATTATATTGTTTAGGTGGGAGGTAGCAGGGAAGGCAATGATCACGAATAGATTGTTCAACTCTGGTATTTGTATTGTCATTATGAAATCCTTTTACCTCACTGGGTATGAAGAATTCAAGGTGTTAAATACTGTACAGCTTCAGTGGCATCTTTTCTTCAGTACTTGAATTTTGAATTTCGTTATTTTATGTAGTGCTAGTTCCAGTAGGGAGCTGAAATATAGTACAGTGTAGTCCTCATCAGTTGCTGGAATCTGTCCAAATTGGCAACTTGTCTGATGCAGGGGATTCTTTGATTCAAGAGATTTTAGTAGTCATGAGCAACATGTGCTTTGATACTAGGTATTTTACAAACCAATGCAACTCAATCCATTCACCTACATATTGCCTCAACTAAGATGATTACATAGAAATGAGCCTCTACTAATGCTACTTCCATAGATAGTTCGTTCTTGTTTTTAAATGCTTCAAATAGCAGTTACTGGTGTTACACTGTTACTTATAGGTTCTACACAAATCCTAACAAGTTCCTTTCCTTTTTTGTTCCATTAATATTGGATTCAGATTGCGTGTTTGTTTGCCTATTTCTTTTCTGTTTTTTTCTCGAGGTCTACATTTATAAAAGATATTTATAATTCTGCAAATGAACAAAGAGCTAAAACTCCTGCTAGTTTTCAAAATTATCCAGCTAGAAATCTACCAGGTACTAAATTGTTTTTCATGCTTAATAAACTGTTTGCAGTTCCAAAGTTCATGGCCAATTAGGTTCTAAAAAATGGGAAGGAATAAATTTGATGATGATGAACAAATAGTAGTGACAGCTTAAAACTTATTTTCCTGTACTCATCATGCTTTCAATTTGAATTTTTACCATTATTTTATTATTCATTTGACTTTTCTTTTATCTGCTCCCTTTTCTAGGTAATGGAATTTGATGAAACGACTTGATCTTACCCTAAAGTTCGTATTGTGAACAATGACCGAAGGCAAACTGAAATAAGGGGAAAATACAAAAGAAACTGTAAATTCTCTGTGAATAGCCCTGGTAAAAAAATGGGTTGTATTTGCATAATGCTAATACAAGTACATGCTTTTCCACAACTCTCTCACACACACGGGTTGCCAGCTGAAATGTTGACTGAATTGATGGTCGTGGTAGATGAACAAAAGTCAAAACCAAACATTTGAAGCTAGTTCTCTAAGGGTCTGTGTGATTTGTGATGGGAATCGGAATTGTCTATTCCCCTGCTTGTTTGAGGATTGGTAAGTAAAAGAGATAAGGTTTGGGCTTTCGGGGTTTTTTAAGTTACTAGTCTTTTCTATTTTTGGCTGGCTGGAATGAGATTTCCATTCATAGGGTGGAAGCCAGAATGACCATCCCTTCAAATGGGGGGATGCCATTCCACTAGGAATGGGAATTGGAATCCCATTCCGGTTCTATACCTTTATTCCTAGGAACCAAATGGATCTTAAGGCTCTGTTCGCTTTTTGAGAAATAACTGACTTGGGTAAGTTCATTTGCCCATGCTTTTTAATTTCCTAGTTAAATAAGAAAGTGATCATTTGACATAAAAGCCATTATTAAAAGGGACAATTTTGTTCCATTCAAGTGTTGGTAACTTTTTCCTAAGTGGGAATATTATTCACCTGGGAGATGGGTTTCACTTATCCAAGTAAATGATATCCAGGGAAAATAAATTCTCTAGACCTCAGGTAAATCTGAAAAAAGAAGATAATTATCTTGGTCAATGAAAAACAAAATCCTATTGACCAACTTTCTCCCCTCTCAAAATAAAAAAAAAAAGAAAGAATGGGCCTTAATATGGCTTTTGTTTACCTGTAAAATTTGGATTCAACTTAGAGGTTGGTATATCAACCAAAACCTGCTAAGCCTTTTTTTTTTATTTTATTTGCCAAAATTGACAATTATTGTGCAACACATGGTTAGGTAGTGACTCAAATCGTTTTTCCAAATTTAACTTTCATAGTTTCAGTATTTTTAAATTTCCCGTTGTATCTTTGGATGAAATCTTGGCCATCAAACGAGCTGCAGGTCTGCAAGACTGCAATTTGAGTCTAACATGTTTGTATTTGGGGTTGGGTCTTGTGTGAAGAAGAGAATAGAGCAATTGCAAAGAAAATAAGATGAAGAGAAGAAACACACAGATTTATGTGGTTCTCTGTATTGGGTAGATGCCCAGGGATGAACCCTCTCTGCGAAGTTTCATTACTTCAAATCAATTGTTACAACAATCTTGGATACCCTAATTCGATTCCAACTGATCAAAATACCCTATATGGCTTTGTGTTGACATTGCGCATATTGTCTGATCTGGGCGATTCACTCCCGGAGGCCGGAACCCATGAAGCTGGGGGCTCGGGCTTGCTCACCTCTCTGCTTCGATAGAATGCCCCTTCTCCCGGTGTAGTCGAATACTCGAATCCATGGATATAAATTTTTGCCTGTCACGCAATCCAAGAGAGTGACAGTCATGGATACAAATTCTTCCAAGGTAATCGTTACGTTTCGTGTCATACGTATCAATGTTTGTTTTGTTAAATCACCGACTTGATTTTTTTCTTTCCCATTTTTTTGGGAGACCAACTGGCCACAAGGAGAGGGTTCCAACTTGAAACTTAATTGAAGGTGCCCCATGACCAACAAAATTTGGGAGGTGGGAACAGGAGTCCCTTTACCCCGAATCTGTTGAGGATTGATACAAGAAAGTGGACTTCATTCATTCCATTCCTTGGATTTTAGGCTTATTAAATGATATTAAGTCTACAAGTTTGGCAATTGGTAGTGGGATCGATCCCATCATAACGAATCAGTCAAAATTTTCTGGTTTGATTATGATATGAGAAAGATAGATATCCGAAAAATGTTTGACCAATCAACTGGAATCATAAATGTGGTAGTCAATCAAGTGTTATTTATCAAAATTCATAGATGGATTTGATTGGTCAAAACTATTTGGATACCATGTCTTTTCCGCATCATAGATTTTTCCTATACCATTACTAGATAGATTCTTGATGTGTTTATTGTTGATTGGGTTTCATAGCCCATATACACGCCTTGTTGTTTGCAGCAAACTTGATGGGGTTAAGCCCAGCAGCGATGTTATTATTATTTTTTTGATGGAACCGGAAGGGACTACATAGAAGGGGGGGTAGCACGTCCCCAAAAGTTAACATAGAAAATAGCAATTAAACCCCTAGGAGTGGAACTATTGCAAACTTCATTAGAATGTGCATGATTAGAAAGCCAATCTAAAAGCCATGTTCCCCTCTCTGAAGACTTGATGGTAATCCACCATTCCACCAAGCCTCTCAAACAGTGCCCTGCAGCTTTCAATAATCGGCTTCACTCTCCACGGGGGGTTGGTAGCACTCTTCAGACAATCGATCACCAGCTTAGAATCACCCTCAATGATAATGAACCTATTAAGAAAATTAAGAGCAACATTGTGGGCTTTCCACGCGGCTCATGCCTTTGCCACATTGACAGTAGAAATGCTTAGTTTATAAGCCTTGAAGTCCAATATTCGGCCCGTATGGTCTCTAGCTATTCAAGCTATCACACAGCTACCATTAATACAAGAAGCATCAAAATTGACTTTAATGACCTCTAATCCAGGACTTTACCATCTAATAGGAATAATTTCTCTTTTCATTTGATCAATCACATCCCTTTCCTCACTAACTTGGATCTTAGCCTAGGAATTTCACTCTCTCTCAATAATAATGGGAGGAGCCACGTTTCTTTTATCAAAATCCCTATCATTACGGTTTTTCCAAAGTTGTCAGAGAAGCAACATAAATTTTTCCTTTCTATAAGGACAACTAATTGAACCCCACCTTCATTACTAGAAACGAGGCTCCACCAATCATGAACAGAACCATTTAGGTCGCTAGGAACCTTAACTGAGTCTCTATTACCCAACCATTGAGGTTTGTGTCTTCTTCATCCTCACAAATCTCACAGGATCTATCAATATCCACCCCTTTTGTGATTAGCAATTTCTTAGTGGGAAGTTTGTTTTTGAGAAGTAGGTAAATGAAATATTTGTATTTTGGAGGGGTTTTCATGCCCCATATTGTATTTGTTCCATCAATAGATCTCAAGTCATGACCATGCATTAAACATGCCTCTTTATATGCAGTTTTAATGTAGTATTTCCCACTTGGATTGGGCCTCCAGATTCATTTATCTTCTGCATCACCCAAGGGGATAAAGATGGGCTTAATCTTGTTCCATACTGAAGAGGGAACAAGGTTTCTAATTTTTGGTGCATCCCAAGTGAGTTGTTCTTTGTCAATCACCTCACTCACTTTTAGATCAATATTTGAGATCAAGTTTTCATCAACTGAACTGATAAGGGCCTTACCATCCACCCAATTATCCAGTCAAAACCTAATAGAGTTGCCATTACCAATAACAACTCTAGTCCCTCTCTTAATTAACTCCCTAGAGGAAAGAATGCCTTTCCAAGCCCAAGAATACCCTTTCTGGCTGGCCATAACCAAGAAATTTGTATTCCTTAAGTATTTTTGATTCACCACTTGAACCCAAAGATTATCCTTTTTTATTTAGAATTCTCCTCTCAAGCCAAATTTTCCTGATTAGACCACCACCAATTTTTAATACCTATCATAGTTTGATTTTTAGTGATAGACTATAGTCCGAAAGGTGAATGGTTTTACACCTTTCCCGAGTGTTTGCGCTCCTTCTTGGCTTCTTGTATTAGTTCTCCTTTTTAACTCTTGTAGGACTCGGGCTGTTAGTCCTTTAGAATGAATTCGTGTTTTACAAAAAAAAAGGACTAAATGGATTAATGTACAATCAAATTATGGGTTGTTCCTCTACGAAGAGAACAGAAGCTCACACTGGAGATGGATCATGGGTGTGGTAATGGAGCTTAAGTTATCTAGGAATCTCCATGTGGCAATTTTATTAAGATTGAGTTCAAAATGGCTCAACCAACTAATTTTTGCTTGATCAATTTTTACTAAAAGGTATATGGGTTGGAGTCGTCACAGTGAATGTTCATAGCCGAACTCACATCTGCTGCAATTAGACCTGTTCATGGGCTAGGCTTGATTTGAGCTTTTACCAAAATTTGAATGGACCCAGCTCGAAGCCCAAGCTTGAAGTAGTATAAAAAATTCACGGGCCAAGCCCAACGCCCAGCCCATGAACAGGTCCAGCTCACTACCTGTGACCTCCAATGAAATTCAAACATACCAGCATTTTGTTGGTAGGGATGCAAACAAATTGGATCGGATTCGAATCAAGGTATATCTGAATCCGATTAAGGAGAGATCTGATCCGATCAGATCTCATAAAAATAAAATAGAACAATTTAAATAAAAAAACACAAAAAAATCTACAAATATATTTTCAATTATTTTGATCATATATATATACATGTTTTCTTATTAAAAAGTAAATAATATAATAAATTTATAAAAATATAATATAAATTAATAAATAAATAAATAATATATATAGGGGGTTGATCCGAATCCGATTGAAAGACCCGAGATTCAAATTCAACAAAATAGAACCGGATCAGATCATCCATTTGCACACCTGTCACTGGGACTTGCATGTGACGAGGGTCGCTGCAGATTTTTTTCGTTCTCCTCAGAGCCTTCGATTATTCCATTTATATGTTCAGCTCGGTCCTTTTATCATTGTTTTCCCTCCAACCTCCCTCTTTCTCTCTCTCTCTCTTATTTTTTTTTTAAGTTATTAAAAATATAAATTATAATGTAAAGCTTGATATTATAAAATGGCATGAATTATGACCCAATAAAGCAGGTTGAACAGTTTAATGATTTGAACGTCAAAGCCGAATGAGCTTTGATTATAATTATAATACCTGTTTGAAAACAAATTGATTCTTAAAACAAAATTTGTTTTTGTTTGATAATATATCTGTTTTCATATGATTATTAAATATCGTGTTTCATTTTTTATGCCTACGAAATTTGTTATTGTTTTAAAAATCATTAGTTTGATAGTTTCAAAATCAAAGCGTAGTTCAAAGAATGTGTATGCTTTCTTTATTTATGTAGTTTTGCTAATGCTAATGTTGCAATTTAAAAAACAAATAAAAATAAATAAGATTAATGTTATAAAACACCCCTTAGGTTTTGGGTCGAAGACTCCAGGTGACGGGTTGAATGGTTCAACCAGCCGTATCAAACGATGGTTTGAAAACATTGGATCAAATTGGAGTTAGGTGTAGAAATTAAAAAACAGGGTGGAGTACCCCCAAAAGACTCACAGCGTAAATCCATTTTAAGTATCTGAAACGGGCTACAATTAGCCCATCCTCCAAACCCGGCCATAACCCTCCCAACCCCGATTTAATCCCAAGTCTCCACTATAACTAGCAACTAGTCAATTGGCATTATGCACACATTTGTTCCATTAACCACAGTAGTATTGACTTATAAGAAATCAAAATAATAGCATACTAGTAAGTGTCCTGCTTGGGTTGTCTCACATTTATAGCTTGGACTA